GTATACAAATGCCATAAACATTAAAAATATAAATAAAATGTATATTAGTCAAAAAACTTATGAACATGAAGTTATAAGTATACACGTCTCAACAGTTAACATCCAATATACATAGTAAACATATGCAATATTCAAATTTGGATGTACTAGAAATTGGTCTGTAATACTATATTATGCGTTGTATTGGTAATATAATTATTTATGAGACTTCTACGAACCATGAGAATAAATTAAATTCAGAAACATAATATTATACTCATAGTAGCCTACTTTACAACGGAATACAACGCAAATATTACTCTGGTTCAAGTAAATAGATTAATACAAATATAGTATGTATAAATAGGCACCTATAAATACGACACGTGGAGAATTTAAATCTCCAAAGCGTTTACCTAATCAAAAAAATGAACAATAAGAAAGACGAGCCAGTATGGTCGATTTTTTTTTACTGGGATTTTTTTCAACTAGGTACCCCGTGAACAACCTATGTATAATATTTCCCACTTCCGGGGAGGATCGCGTTTTAAATTAAGATTTTTATAAGCTTGCATATTATTTAATTTTGAATGTTAATGCGGTGTTAAATAATAGATAAAATATTGTAACACATACCTAATTTAAACGTAGACATATATTTATAAATATTCTATAATACATAGACAAACTAAGCGGATAAAGACGAAACCTCCGTGAACCAACATGATTTGTACATTGTTTTTGATTCAACAGGTTATTTTATGAAAAATTTTTTTCGACACATTTATACCTGCCTCCAAACGCATAATATAGTTTGTTTAATTTATAAAGGATATAAGGGGTGGTTACGTATGTAATACGAGAAAGATATTCCGGTCGGATGATATATTATATAATGGGTTGAATCGTTTTAAGTGGTCTATATGATTAAAATATAATATTAAATCGTCTATTTAAATAGTAATATTAAATAAATGAGAATAAAATGTTTGAAACCTTAAATGCATTGTAGTGTCAGTGTGTCACGCCCAACTCTAAATACTATTGTCCTGCATGTTATTTATTATTTATTAAACTATTGCACGTAAATGTTTTATTTGAATACACTGTACTTTGACATGTCTGAAATGTGAAAATCTCTTAATATTAGTATTTTTAAGAAAAAGAATGTACCTATTTGGGGACTTTCTTATAAAAATAAATAGAAAATAAACGCGAAAGAGAAGTAATCGAGTAAGACAAGTCATACTAGTTGGTTAATTGTTGGCATACTATAGATTTTAGAACTTGATGTACCTATATAGTATAATTCATTGCTGTACAGTTTTACTGATAAAATTATATAGAGCTAAACTTTAAAAAAAAAGGTTTATATGGATTACAATTTTAAATCATTAATGCAACTATGTCTCAGTACAAATCTTCTGTTGCGTTAATTTATTTAAATGTCAGTTATCTTGACTGGTAATTTCTAACCAGTTTACCTTACTTTTAATTGCAAGTGTAAATTATTGTTTTTATAAAGTCACTCGAAATTATTTAACCCGGCGAAATTAATCTCAAAGATCAGTATTATAATACAATTTTTTATATCGTAAATCGCCAATCATATCACATTTGATTTAGTCACTTAATCTGTCGTCGTTAGTGTAGATTAAAAATTTAAAATACCTTGTATAATTTTGTATTATGCTTTTTACTTTTTAATAATATAGCGTTGAATAAAAAAGTGAAGCTGGTTATATTTATATATATACGTGTGTTCACTTGCGCCAATGGTCGATTTATTGTACCATTTAAACAATGTTTTGACATCATATCTATAAAAGTGCTGTGGAACTCATGTTACAACAATTTCAACCATGCAATTTGAAATTTATTTTTGCTTTTTTTCGATGGTTTAAAATAAATAAATGCTTATTTCCAGTTGGTATTGCTTTTTTGTATTATAATAATTTATATTTTATGACGACGCAGGCCACTGACCTAACTCAGATTTCTACCTATGGTTTTTTCTTCAAAATGTATAATTTTCGATAGAATTAAAATTAAAAATAATTGTATTACCTGCCATATTTGCATTAATTGTTATCTTATCTACTTGATGCGTTGGTCAGTGGCATAATCGGGGAGAGACGGTAATAAAACTATTAAAACCCTCAAAATAGAACTCGATTTCGGAAAAACAAATTAATACAAATGATTTCTAGCCTTATAGGTAAACAATAGGTACCATTTGACCGGCGTACTGGAGTGATTAATACAAATATTTATTACATAAAAAGAAAATGTATAAGCTTTTCCTCATATTGCTTAAATGTTTATTTTAGGTCATTCTTTTGTTAGATTAATTATTTTTGCTTAATTTTGTGATTTATTAATGCTTTTTGAGAATTTGTAATGATGTTTTTACTTTTAGAAATAGTGCAATGGGTATTATTAATGCATTTTAAAATATTGACGTTGACAAAATGATTTGTATAAGTGTAATAACATATTATGACATTATAATATGTGAAATAAAATGAAGTAAAATTATATTTTGCTGTTGGGTGTTGGTCGTGTTGTAGGAAATAATATGTACGAGGTTCGATGTTCAAGTGAACACGCCAGATGGGATTATGTTTTGAATTCAAACACTAATACTAATTGTAGGCCTAAAAGTTATTCCATATAATTTATAAATATATAATGATGACAAATTATAGGTTATATTTTATTATTACTTTATGGTTAGTCAATTATATTGTACGTGAATCATTGTGTGTGTGTGTGTGTGTGTAACTCGTGTGCCAGTTCCACATGACTTGATTTAAATAGATACTATGACCGTTTAAAAAACACCCCTATATGACGTTTATACTGCGGTTTGTATGCGAAAAGTATTTTTTCATTATAGTTTTTACAGCGACTGCGAGTAATATAATGTTACAGAAAATCACTTTCTATATTTTTTTATTCTGACTTGTGAACACGTAAAATTAATTTAGATACCGTTTTAGTGAAATAACTGGGCCATTATAATAGGCCTCAAACCTTTTTTTATTTCAATACGTATTGCGAAATATTCTCGAATTTGGATCACCGAACATCGAACGAATTAATTAATATTAAATAATGGACTAATACAATTTTAAAAACATTTGTGTGTACATTTTGGTTTCTGGAGATTTTTCATTAATTATTTATATTTCCTATTATAGGAACTTGGAATTGAAACATGTCCGTACTTGCTAATGATATCCCTTCATACGATTTAAATATTTTATGTGAATACACTTGTTTTATGCGTTTAAAGTTCATAGTTCATAGTTCATAGTTTTCTTAATTTCTTAGTGAATACATATTATATTTTGTATTCCTATAATGATTTAAGTTAAGTATATGGCTGCAGTAGTTAATTTACTATAATTATGTAGGATCGTAGACAGAATTTTGATTTGGGGCCTTCGAAATTCAATAACAAAATTAAAGTTCATTAGGTCATCATGAAGAATTATTAATCCAATGGCAATATAGTTCCCGGACATTTCAGGGGGAGGACGTTGGCCTCCCCTTGGCTATGCTGTAATAGTATTAATATTTAATAGTAATTATAATATATTATGAATGAACAAAAAGTTTTAAAATATTTAATCATTTTTTACAGTTTTTCAATAAATTATTTATGTCAATTTCAATGTTCGTTCTAATACGGTGATGTATAGTTATATAGTTTTATATTAATATAACTTTTTTTATGCGTTTTATAGTGGTAGGTACCTACTATATAATTTATGCGCAGTAGGTATAGCGCTCCGGTCACACCGTGTGTAACAGTAGGTATTGGGTAAAAAAAAAACTATGATTAATCGATGATTAAAGCTTATAAGGAGTATATTATAATATTATTATCTATATAGTCTATATAATTAAAAACTTCTATATTCAGTCATTTAATTTGTCAATACCACCAATAATGCGGGTCACTCAATACAAAAATAAAATTTAACAATTCAAATTTTTGTGGCTATTTTGCGCACTTGTGACTCACCTACAATATAACACGAACAAATGAAAACGAATTTACGTAGGTATAGGCACATACCATTATAATAAGTAGATAGGTATCTACTGTAAAAAAAGCATACGTATTCGGACAGCATTAAACTTATAGTTGGGTAATCCGTCAAAATTTGTTTACAACGTGTTTGCGCCGACGATCCTGACTAGCGGTTGTCGTCTGACACACGGTCCTCGGGATAAAGGCGGGGCAGGGCAAATGTTAAATAACAACAATTTGAGTTTAAATATACAAGAATTGGCATGTATTAAGTCTTACATGCACAACAAATTAATTGTATCTATCAGTACACAAGTTACAGGGGGGGAAACGGGGATCACCGACTGAGCTGCCTTCCTGGCCGATGTCTTGAGCTGGTGAACTGTATGTGCGGAGCTGCTGTATGTGCGGAGCTGCTGTATGTGCGGAGCTGCTGTATGTGCGGAGCTGCTGTATGTGCGGAGCTGCTGTATCTGGATCACGGGTGCGAGCGTGTGCACCGTCGTGTCGTGGAGCGAAGAACGTTCAACCGCGCACGTGGACGCGAAGAATGGTATAGTAGGTAAAGCTACTCGGAGCTGATTGTCACGAACTTGACGAGAGCAGACTGGACGACGACAGTCAATAAAAGATCAATACGGTTAATCGGCCGAACAACCGCGATGTTTAATGCTGAACAATAAACACGTTTTCCGTAACTATCCCAAACGGGAAAAGATGGCTGACGGGCGAGCGAGCAGAACAACCGTGTTGACGGAGCGGTCGGGTACACGTTGCAACGGAAAAACGGAGAGAGAGTGGCGCGTACGAACGAGCTCGCCTGCGCCGGGCGCCGGTAACAACCTACCAGTGTTGCCAAAATTGCGGCTGCCGGCGCGCAGCGCCCATGAACATGGTTACTGCGGCGGTCGGTCGAGCGTGACCACCGACGGCGGCAATGTTGTTATCAAACGGATCGAACATACTCCCCCTTGCAAGTTCAGCGAACTTGCAACAGACTTCGATCAACCATGATGTAGGTGGCCGAGCAAGTGACCACTTGAACAGTGCAGTTGAGCAGAGCAGTTGAACGGAGCAGTTGAACAGAGCAGTTGAACAGAGCAGTTGAACGGAGCAGTTGAATGAGCAGTGGAACGGAGCAGTTGAACGGAGCAGTTGAATGAGCAGTTGAACGGAGCAGTTGAACGGAGCAGTTGAACAGAGCAGTTGAATGAGCAGTGGAACGGAGCAGTTGAACGGAGCAGTTGAATGAGCAGTTGAACGGAGCAGTTGAATGAGCAGTGGAACGGAGCAGTTGAATGAGCAGTGGAACGGAGCAGTTGAACAGACCAGAGCGATGATCGGGTTTTTTACAAAGGGGCAACATCATTAACAGTCTTTTTTTGCAACGAAATAAATTAATTTAATAACATTACCAATGACTAGAGCAATAGCTGGACTAGCATTACAATATTTAACAATAGGAACACAAGTTAAATGATATCACAAACAAAGACTTTAGTTACATTTTTTTTTTTTCAAAATACACAAATATTATAACAGATTAATACCTGAAAATATAACAAAAAACAAACAATAAAAAATACCATACCTCACCTGGTACCCGAGGCAGAACAGCCGACGAAACATCCAGCAGCATGCATGGTGATGGTTGATAAGAAAACGAATTATTTACATAATGAGCGTAGCAATAACATACAAATATAAAGTGCAAATGGATACAGGAAACAGGGACTAAGGGGAGTCTCAATACCTACGGATCTGTGGGGAGAGGTACTAGTTTAACCACTGGTCTGGTGAACACCCCCTGTTTAGTAATAACCTTAGCTACCCGTACCACCTTGTCGGTTCCTGGATACACCTCAATGATTCTTCCTAATGGCCACGATAGCGAAGGCGCATCATTAACCTTGACGATGACCATAGTACCAACTTCGAGATTGATATCAGTCTTCGTCCACCTACCACGAGCTTGGAGGGTGTTCAAATACTCCCGAGACCAACGTCGCCAAAAGAATTGGAAGGACTGCTGGAGGAGCTTCCAGCGAGTCCGCAGTCCCACTTGTGCGCTGGTACTAACAGGCTCTGGGATTGACAACAAAGGGCGACCAATTAAAAAATGACCGGGCGTTAAACATTCCAGATCATTTGGGTCAGATGATGCTGGTATTAGGGGACGCGAGTTCAGAGCAGCCTCTACCCTACACAACACCGTTGAAAACTCTTCTAGAGTCCAAATTTGGGAATTCATTGCTCGAACAAGCAATGACTTCGCCGACTTAACGGCGGCTTCCCAAATTCCTCCAAAATGGGGAGCACCAGGAGGGTTGAAGTGCCATTCACACGCAATATGACCTGAGAACTGATCTCTACTGTCCGGACTATTGACCAATTGACGCAGCTGCCTCGCCGCACCAACGAAATTGGTGCCACAATCCGAATAGATGGCCGACGGTAAGCCACGGCGACCTACGAATCTATCCAGGGTTAACAAAAAAGCTTCCGTCGAGAGGGCAGACACTGGTTCTAGATGCACCGCTTTGGTGGTCATACAAACAAAAACAGCGATGTAAACCTTAACGATGCGCGCCTTCCGCAGACTGAGCTCCTTCATTTGCAAGGGCCCTGCGTAATCTATGCCGACTATTGAAAACGGGTGGGCTTCCCGGACCCGGAACCCTGGCAGAGCAGCCATGATGGGTTGTGGATGATCAGCCGACATTTTTGCACATAACACGCATTTTCGAATCACCCGATGAACTATCAGGCGAATGCCAATGACCCAAAATCGTTGTTGTACGAGAGCGATGAGCAAACGCGGTCGGGCGTGACACGCGTAGAGATGCCAATGTCGTGTGATCAGAACGGCTAAATGAGACTCTTTCGGAACTAACATAGGATGCTTTCGTCTCTCCGACCAATTGGAGTTTTGCATCCGTCCGCCAACGCGGATTATACCATCTGAATCCAAGAACGGGCACAGACGAGCTAGCGCCTTGGACTGGACCGGGCTCCCCCGACGCAGGCCGTCTACTAGCTGGCTCAAATAACAATTCTGAGCACTCCTAACGATCACGAGCGTAGCTTCATCCAATTCAGATTGTTTCAGAAAACCTAACTCGACCTTTCTCCTTTGACACAACCGGATGAACCGACGTACTTGAGCTAGTACGCGGATCATCTGGTGAAAGGAGGAGAACCGAATAAACCATTCGACTGGAGGATCTTCACAAGTCAATAAACACACCGGTTTTACTTCCGGCAATTCTTCCAACTCTAATTGTGGAATTTCCCGAGACCAAGCTTCGACTGGAGATTGCAAGAAGGTCGGGCCCCGCCAATAGAGCTTGCATCGCCTAAGCTCGTCAGGGAGGAGACCTCGAGACGCGCAGTCAGCCGGATTATCCTCAGAACGCACATGTTGCCAACGGCAACCGGGAACTGCGGACTGGATCTGATATATCCTGTTGGACACGAACGTCTTGAACGACGTATGCGGGATGTTCAACCACGATAAAACTATGGACGAGTCGGACCACGCGAAGACATCAGAAATTCCCAACTGGAACTCCAAAATGCGCTTGAGCCTGGCCAACCATGATGCAAGGAGCAATGCACCACTTAGCTCCAGACGTGGTGTTGTCATGGTCTTCATTGGTGCTAGCTTGGTTTTGGCGCCCAGGAGGTATGTGGCCGTAGCTCCGGACGGATCAGTCACGCGGAGATACGCTACAGCCGCATATCCTTTCTCGGAGGCGTCACAAAAACCGCAGAGAATATAACTACAACCAGTGTAGCAACCGATGTAGCGTGGAATCTGGATGTCTACCAGCCAACCTAGTGAATGGTAGAAGTGGCACCAATCATCCGCGATATCCGATGGAATCCGACTGTCCCAACCAACCTGTGAGAGCCACAGACGTTGCATGATGGTTTTGGCATAAAATATCGTTGGTGACAGCATACCTAGCGGATCAAAAATCCTGGCGATCATAGACAGCACACCTCGTTTTGTGAGAACCAATTTGAAGTTGTTGACGGTAAACGAAAAATAGTCCAGATCATGATTCCACAACATGCCTAACACATGCGTGGCATTATTCTGTTCAAACGTCAACGGACTTCCAGAACGATCTTCCGGAAGCAGATGGTCCAGCAACTCCGGTGAATTACTAGCCCATTTTCTCAATTGTAGGCCGGATCTGGCAAGAGTCTTGATCAGGTTGGACTGTAGTACTTTAGCAGCTTCCAAGGACTCTGCGCCAACACATATGTCATCCATATACGTTTGGTTATATAACGCTCCCTTCACGTCTGGCTGATCTGCACATTCCGTGTCGGCGATGAAGCGGAGAACCCTCAGGGCTAAATAGGGAGCACTATTTACCCCGTACGTTACAGTGTTCAGGGCATACTCTCTTACAGAGACTTGAGGTGATTCACGCCATAGGATGTACTGATATCCTCGGTATTGCGGCAGCACCTCAATCTGTCTATACATCTTACAGATGTCCGTTGTGAATGCCACCTTATGCACCCTGAACCCAACCAGAACATCAACAATGTCTTGTTGCAGTTTTGGGCCTACCAGCAGACACTGGTTGAGGGACATTCCCGAGTGACACTTCGCTGAAGCATCGAACACTACTCGAAGCTTGACATCATCCCCTTCAACCTTCTGGACCGCATGATGCGGGATATAATACTGTCCGGCACCTTCGGCCCGGGTCATATGACCGAGTTCCTCATACTCGGACATGAACTTGCGGTAAGCTGCATATAAGATGCTATCTGCTGCCAACCTCCGCTCTAGCTGCAGAAACCGATTGAGGGCTACCTGCCGAGAACCCGGAAAGGACTTCACTGGTTGGCCTGAGCGAAAAGGAAGTGGCACAGAAAATCGACCCTGCGAATCCCTGCTGACTTCCGAGTGGAACAACTCTTCACACAGACCATCTTCCGTGAATTGCTGCGGAGCCGCGTCCGGTTCTTCTACCAACCAGAATCTTTCCATGAGAGCTTCCATCGAGGACGCCAAGGACACCAACATTGACTGAGCTCCAATGTCTGGATGTTCTTGTACCGGACCAATCAGGACCCAACCGAAGACCGAGCTGTACACCGATGGGAATCCTGGGCCTAACGAACTGCTCTTATCATTCCAGACTTGTGGAAAGATGTCGGCGCCGATGAGCATATCGACTGGAGCAGGTTTGTCGAAACTCGGATCTGCCAGAGTCAAGTGGCTACATCTAGCCCGGACCTGAGCGGGTAATTGCCGAGCTGGCATGTCGGTAGTGATTGAAGACAGCACCCAAGGTTTGACACTTATTGACGGCGTAGGGCGATCTCGCGGCTGGATCGTCAGTTGAACGACGCCGTGTACATCCGGTACCCTTTGACCAGACAGTCCTGTGACGGGAACTGTCCAACGCGATGGTTTGAGCCCCAAACGCTCACAGCAACTTGATGTTATCGCGCTTATCTGCGAAGCCGAATCGACTAGTGCACGTATAGTGCGGCAACTCCCCACTGTGTCCTGCACTTGGACCAGAGCTGTCCCTAGTAGCACCGTTGGGGATTGTAGCCGACCAAGCATGGCAGCTGGTGGACCGACCGTCTTCGAATCCGAATCGCGATGTAGCAATGCATGATGACGGCGCTTACATGTGGCACATGACGTCGAACACTTGAAAGACATATGACCTTCACCAAAGCAGACCATGCAGAGACGATGAGTGCATACGATTTTATATCGCTCATCGACAGACAAGGCCTTGAATTTTGAACAATCGGCTAACTGGTGAGCACCAGAACACATGAAGCACTTCGCGGAAACTGACTTTGCTTGGATCATTCTGGACGATGTAGGTTTGGCAGCTGCTGAAGAATTAGTAGCTACTAAAGTTGTCTTAGCATCTCGCCGGAAAACAGCTTTCTTGTTACTGGCCGGTTTGGACGAACTTCCCGACGGCTGTACACCAGCGTTCTCAATAACCTGGATCCTTGCCTTGACAAACTTGATCACACTCTGGATCGATGGATACTCTTCGTTATTTTCAGACTCGAACTGGCGTCTAGAAAATGTAGGTAAGCACCGAGCAGCCAACGAGAACAACAAGAACGACGATAAATCCGGAATCTGAAGCGATTCCAAGATCGCAATATTTTCATCAAAAACTGACAGGAACTTCTGCAGAGCAGCATGATTCTCCGAACTAGCAACAGGAGCGTTTATCAACTTGTCGATGATTGACGACGCCAATCTGCGCGGCTTGTCATAGCGTTCGACCAACGCATCCCAGGCAAGGGTGAAAGACTCGTTCGAAATGGAAAACCCTTTGATCACTTCCTGGGGATCGGGGT